GGCTGTGCTGCGGCCAACAGTGAGCTGTGAGGCGGCGACCGCCGCTACGGTCCAGAGTTACGGTAGCTTTGGGGGGCCTTATTTTGGGGGAGGTCTTATTTTCGGGGGATGCCTTATATTTCAGTGAGAAGCAAAACTGTAAGTAGGTCTTATTTTCGGGGGATGTCTTACTTTCGGGGAAACAGGGTAGTAGCTCTAGGTCTGCTCTCTGAAGCACCAAGACTGTACCTCCCCTGTGCTATCTGGGACAGCTCATGAGAGCCTTGAAGACAAACATCAGGAAACCAATGTCACGTTGCTCTGGTCAAATCTCTGACAAGGCAGAAGGGAGCTAAGATTTATTACTTACCTCGCATTGCCAGGGACCAACACAGGAGCTGTACATTACATATTGTATCCTTGCAACCAGCCTAGGAGGCAGGTGTGGTTTTCTGCGTATGTCGACAGATAAAGACATGGATCTCAACGTGCTGTTGCAATGAGGTGCCCTTATGCCAATGCCAACTCACAGCGGCCCATGGGCAACTGAATGAAACAATGCCAGGCCCTGTGCCACCCTCACAGTGGTTCTTATGATTGAGCCCATTGTTGCAGCCACTGTGTCCATCCATTTCCTTGAGGGTCTTCCTCTTTTGTGCTGCCCCTCCACTTTAGCTAGCCTGATGTCCTTCTCCAGGGCCCTCTCTCCTGATAACCTGTCCAAAGTAGTGAGACTAAGTCTCGTCATCCTTGCTACTAGGGGGCATCCTAGATGACTGTGCCTCTTCCAAGACAAGACAGTTGTTCTCTCCCTGCAGGTCACGTGCTTTCTGTGTGCTTCCCCAGCACCAGGATGCTTACACGCTGCCCGGAAGTGAGTGTACGCACTGACAATGCCCTGCGTGTCCGTATCGATGCCTCACGCTGGGCACCTCTCTGCAGAACAGAAACAAAGTCTCCACCTGGTGCCCACTCCATCCAAGGCCCTGTTCTCAGTGCGTGTGGACACATACCGACCACACCAACTTGGACTCTAACTGCAAGCAACACCAGTGCCTTGGAGTCAGCCACAACTGATGAGGCCCCCAGGAGCGTCAGAGGTAGATCATCAGGCCTTTCTTCCAACGAATCTCTGGGCGGGATTCAGATCCCTTCCCCTCCAAGCTTTCCCTTGGTAGTCAGGTGCTTAACCCTTTGTGCCACTCAAGGATTCCAAGCCTCAGGGAGCCCACTGTAAAATGAAGACGTGGGCACAAACTTGTGGTCTATGTAAATAGAGGTAGTAATCACTTAGCAGGCACAGACTCCGGGGTCTCTTAAAAGCTTGTCTTGATGAGCCAGTCAGGGTACGATGTAACAATGATGAGAAATACAACTTTCCTCTAGTTCCTAAATGTTTCCTCCCCGCTCCCACTACCATGACTCGAATTCAATCTTGCAAGTCT